TTCAATCTTGGCCATTCTGGCAGGTGTAAAACAGTACTGCTACTGCAGTTTTAATCTGTATTATTTTCCTCATAAATAATGAGCTTGAGCATCTCTCTTCCCACCAAATCTTTCATCTGCTTCGCTTACAAGCTTTATAATCATGGGTTGAGTTTCAGCCCCTTTTCCTTCTCCTGCCCTTGGTAGTCTAACCAGCTGGTGAATAGTGACATTAGCCCTGAAGGACGCAGTGGGGAGCACTTGGATAATCTACCAAGTTGATAACCTGCCTCTAAATAAATAACCAGGAGTTGACCCTCGGGGATTGTACTCATGCCATTCAACTGCCATGACCCAGTGTAATATTTCATGTCTTGCTAAAACTCTGGCTCAGCACTATTTTGCATGCAACTAAGGACTTGGACAATTCTTTCATCAGCCACGACTTGCTTGAGACACAAAGGCTTGTGCTACCTGCCTGTGGTATCACTCCAGATGGCACCTTAGCTTTTTTATATGAAATGTTTTTCACATCTCTCGACCTTCCCCTGGAGGATGTGCAGTTTCTCAATGACCCTTTTAAAATGTGATACTAAGACTGGACAATATTTTAAATCATACCATTCAGTAGTACATGTTCAGGAAAGCAACACTTCATGATAGGTATTCTGTTAAAAAAAAGAAAAATGCAAAAGTGTTTTCCCCTCAAACTAGAGATTGCAACAGAAATTATCTTTCTTCAACGATTCTGTGAATAAGTGATTCTGATTCTGACAAATAAAAGGAAGGAGAAGGGTGGAAAAAAAGTCACACATAGAATCAGGAACAATTGAAAAAGGAATCCAGGCTACCCCCAACCCCGGCCTTTGTTGAAGGGATCACCACAGATCTATGTAGATATTATTTTGAAATTTAGAGCTTCAACTTGTATGAACATGAAAGCCCATGCTGAGTTTCTGCGTGCCTCTGTGAAACAGCAAAAAGAACCCGACAGACCCTATTCTTGCATTAAAGCAACACACTGTGGAAAGCCTGAAAATAAACCATCTATGCTTGATTAATTAGGTTTGTAAGTATTGTTTCAGAACCAAACAATATTTCTAAAGATTTCAATAGTTCAAAGATTGCCCTATGGCCGTCTGGCCAATACATCTTCCAACACACGCAGTTTACAAGCATTTTTCTTCCCAATATGTTGTCTTTGGTTGGTGCGACATTGTTTGAGCGCAGGACTATTTGGGTCATAGTGGTTTTCTCCCCTGCACAGCAGTGGTGCTGAGCACAGCACTTTGACCATACATCTTCCATGTCATTTCCATCAAAGGCACATGATACTTCCTGGTGACCAATCAGGAGTGGTCCAGCATCCTAACAGAGGGCATATTGGCAAACCAAGCTTTCTTAATGACAGCCATTGTTTGAGGCCAACAAAAGGGAGGTCCTGAATATTAACATGTGGCCTTGTGTAAAGGTCACCAGTATGGCACATCCATCATATTTCACAACTGAGAAAGAGAACTTTTTAAGTTCTGTCAGAACCTACTGTTGTCCAAATAAATGTATTAGCCTGATGGCTGACACCAACGAGGCAAATGATCTTGAGTGATGATCTCCTCTTTTAACAAATATCCTTTCACTTCTTTGAATCAACTGCAGACATTATGGTGAGAGATCATCTTGAAGGAATATACCTCGAGGCCATAGGGGGTTATAATAACCAGGAAACCCAATTAAAATATTAATTTAATAACATGTAATCATTAGACCAAATGGCATCTCCTCTTGACAGGAATAACCTTCCACACTGAAAAGAGAAATCACTTATTTTAACATCTCAGAGTCTTGAATGGTCTTCTTAATAGTAGAGAGCAACAAGCCCATGGAATTTCTATCAGTGAGATTTAATACAGTTGGTACAAAAGAACTCAAACATCTGGGTCTATTGACAACTCTGAGTTTTGGGTAAAGACTATCCAAAGTGAAGCATGATGGCAGAACTGAGCAAAGCTAAATTGTATCACATGCATTTATTACTAAACCCAAGAGCAGACGGCAAGCTTCCTTATTTGACAATCTTGGTCAGAACCAGTTTTATGTTCAATATTAGAAACACGGGGTTCTGGTTATTAAGCACCATCTTGAAAAAGAGTTGGAATTTATTTCAACTTAAGAAATCTGAAAAGAATATAAGCAAGAGAAAGATTAGTGAATAAGCATGTATCTCTCAGCTGGGTCACTCTGACCTCAGTTATAGTCATGGTGTGGGTCAGAAGGGAGAGACGAGAAATGGAGAGAGAAAAGATGGGTATTGAAGAGGGCACGTACTGAATGGAGCACTGGGTGTTATCCCAAACAATGAATCATGGAACACTACATCAAAAACTAATGATGTAATGTATGGTGATTAACATAACATAATAAAAAAACAAAAATTAAAAAAAAAGAAAAGAAAGAGTTCTTTTTAGTTCCTTGGATACATCATACTTTCAATACTATCTCCTGACATTCAGACATTTTCTTTCTATGTGGCATATCTTCCACAGACCCTGTACCTCTGAACAATTTCTACTCCTCTCCATTTCTTGTTCTTTTCCCTAAACTCTGAACTGCTTAGCTCCTTCTGCTGCGTGTTCTCATAGTTCCTTGGACTTGTTTTATCATAACAATCAGCACTTGAAATTGCTTATCGAATTATCCTGTCTTCAAAATTACTCCAAGCTCCGTGAGGAGAGAGACAAGATATGTCAATTTCATCATTGTAGGTACTCCATAAATTTTTGTACATAAATCGTAACTTTCGATAATAAAACAGGATCAAAGTCTCAATTCATCACCTCTTGACCTAGAATAAGTTTCTGTTAAATAAAAGAAATTCTCATGCATATTAAGGAAGGATTCAACATTGGAACAATTTACTTTTATTATACTATAGACAAGACACCAACTAACTACAATACAGCCTCACAAATTCATATTCTATTATTTCAGAACAAGGCATAACCAGATAAGGAATAAAAGGAAGCCAACTTTTGAACTATCTTTGAAAAGGGTATTTTCTAGGCAAAATAATTTTGTATATAATATATCAGGAACGTGTTTTGAAAGAGCCACTTGCCTTGGCTTTGAGTTCTCTTTCCACCCCTGTATATTGACTCCACTTAGAACATCCTCCATGTGAAATGTTGTCTACCTGTCTACATCCTATTAGTCTTCAAGGCCCAGGGTAAGTACCATTCCTTTTATGAAGCCTTCCCCTGCTGCTCATGTTCATAACATTTGCCCAACACTCAGGGTAAGTGGTTCTAGTTCTTCCTGTATTCTCACTGGACACTAACCACATTGTAATTAAAAGTCTTAGGTGAGAGGGCACCTGGGTGGCTCTGTCGATTAAGCATTTAACTCTTGACTTCAGTTCCGGTCATGACCTCAGGGTTGTGAGATTAAGCCCTGGGTCAGGCTCCACGCTAGGCATGGAGCCTGCTTAAGATTCTCTCTCTCCCCCTGACCCCTCCCCACCTCTCCCTCTCTAAAATAATCCAAATACATAAAAAAAATTTAAAAAAATTTAAAGTCTTAGGTGAGTATGCCCATTTTTTAACAAAAAAGTTGTAAATTAATTGAGGAAAGAATCTGCATTTTTATACTTTTCTGAATCCAGCCCAGGGCTTAGCATGTTGCACTCTGTGAGAGTTCAGAAAAGGTTTTCTAAATAAATGCATTAACATACAAAAGTAACCATTCTAAGTATTTAAGCAAATTCTAAAAAAAGAATTTCTTTTGTCAATGCTTTATTAAACTTTAGTAATCATGTTTTATTCTGTCTGTGCACACACACACACACACACACTTTCTTCAGGCCAATGATCCTATGACTCAAAGTGGTTTAAAGGAGAGTCTCATTATTTATATTCTTCCTTTCAGTTACAATGGGAAAATCACTCAAGATGGTACCACACTCCCTTACACAGTTTTGTGCAACTGACTCAAGCTTGGACAGTCAGATTCTTTCAATATATTTTTGTTCTTAGGACCTAAGAGACCACATCTCTATTCCTTTCCAGAAAGAGATGCTCTGAAATATGAGCTGTGAGTTATTGGAGACCATGTTTTCAGTCCTCATTGAAGAAGCTACTCTGAAGAAATAAAGGTGACATGCAGGAAGAATGAGGGGCATGAGATGGAGGGTCCTAGAAGCTCTCATAGTCCCTGGTTCAGATCATCCCTGAGGCTTCAGCCCAAATCCCATTTACTTTAGATCAATAAGATCAATGTAATTCAGATGTATATCCATGATGTCTACTCAAAATAGCTTTAATAAAACTGGTCAATATATATTTTTAAAGATTTTATTTATTTATTTGAGAGAATGAGAACCGGAGCAGGGGGAGGGTCAAAGGGAGAGGGAGAAGCAGACTCCCTGCCGAGCAGGGAGCCTGACACAAGGCTCGATCCCAGGACCCCAGGATTTGGGGGACCCCTGAGACAAAGGTAGACACTTAACCGACTGAACCACCCAGGTACCCCAAAACTAGTCAATATTATTGTATTATGTTAACTGTAGCTGCACTTTTTTTTAAGTTTGAATTGGTCTCTACCACAAATGTCTAAATTCTTATGAATTTATGAATGCTATTAGGCTCATCTGTTATTTCTCTTAAATAAATGGAGTGTTTATAACAAAGTTACTTAGGTAAGTAATGAAGGCTTTTCATCCTCATAAATATGGTAAAATTTATTACCACCTCTTAATAAGTTCAAAAGACAAGAATGAAAATGACAAGATACCAAGTAAAGATATGCATAATTTCACATTTTTCATTGGAAATATTACAATTATGCATTATAAAAAAATAAAATACTGCTCAGTTCCACTCAATTTGTTTCACGCTAGGACAATAAAGAAATAGGTTTAGAGAAGCTAAGAGACTTGTCCAAGGTCGTCCAACTCTTCAGTAAAAGAACCTTCTAGGCTTGATTTAAAGTGCTGAGCACCATGTCTAGCACCACATAGGTGCACCTACCCATTAGTTCTTCTCCATCTCTTTTTTCCTCCAAATTCTGGCCTTTCTCTACCACATCACTCCTGAATACTGTATGGATTCCTGAGGCTGAATTCTGCAACCTCCTTTTCTGACTTAGGGCAACCCCTAATCCTCTCTGCCTCTGTTTCTCATCAGAAGGAAAGAAATAGTTACTATGTTCATCCAACAAAAAGGAAATTAATGGTTGATTAGATGCCTGTTCAACACACTGAGGATGAAAACCAGTCTTCATGGTGAATTATTGAATTAGGGGCCAACTTACAGTGAGGCTGTGTCTACACAAAGCCAAACATCCAGTCAATTCAGCCCAAAAAAAAATCGTTTAGCCGCAGAAAAATGAAATTAGTTGATCAGGACTGTGCAGACAAAGTAAAATGAGAAATGAATGGCACTACAATGGCATGGTAAATGTTCTGGCAGAATTTACAAACTTAAAGGAAAGAAAAGTAAGAATGAGACTTTTGACGCTGTCAGAAAAATAAAAAGGTCTTATTGAACAAACAAAAATAGATTCCTTCATTTTCTTATTATGTTCCCATTTCCTTCTATCTCATTTTCTGCATTCAAATTTAAGATGGACATCATGAAAAAACAAAGCCAGTATCCAAAGATTTGAGTCACACCCTAGCCCAGGATATTAAAAAGGAATGCTTTCCTATGGTAAGGCTGGCATATGACATATTATGATGCAAGCATTCAACATGACTTAGTTTCATATTTGGTGATAAATCTTCGCTTCACTCTCTGCAGGGCAAAACGGATATTGAGATGCATATTATCTATGGAGAATTCTAAATAACAAAACTCATTTGATGTTCACACTGATTTTCCCAAGTCATTTTTAATACCATGGCAAAAATCAGAAAATCCTCAGTAAAATGTGTGATTTTTGTTGGTTGACTCTTTAGATAGATAGTAATCATGGACTAGCATTAATGGTGTATATGAACTGTGCTTTTAGGAGATGCCATTTGAATGTCCTGTGTCGTTTTTTAGAAAGATGTTTCCATTATGAGTCCTGTGTTGTTACTACGCTCTAATATGTAGACCCCCTAAGCTCTAAAGAGGCTCTAAAACTGCATAAAGTTTTCATAACTATTTCATAACTATTGATTATTAAGTAAGGTAGGAGGAGAGATCATTTATGAGTAATTTATCCCTTCATTAAGAATGAAATACAATTAATTAAAATTGTCGGTCTTAATAACTTACTCATTTAACTCTCCCCCTAACTCTAAGAGAATTAGCCCAGGAGCTAGACAAAGAAAGCATTCTTCAAGACAAATTGAAGAGTACAGTTTTGTGAACTGAGTCCTGAACCCCAGGAATGAACACTTGCAGCTGCAACATGAACTGTTTTCTGTTACCTTAAATACTGCTGGGCCATATGGAGCATTTCTGAGGACCTTCTATTTTAAAACGTTCTGTTCATATTTTATGCTTTTCCATATGTCTCATCCTTACTTCAGAGTTTCTATTCATTTCCATAAAAATAAGATCTTTGTTTTACAAGAGTTCATTTTTCTCTCTCCCCTCCTCCCTATTATGGCCACAAACCTCCACTTGGGTTATTACAGCCACTCTAGGACCAGCTGATTGTGGCAAGATGAATAGCGAATTATTTGAAAGAAAAACAGCAGTAGCAGATGATCCGTGGGGCTGCCGAGCTCCTGTTTTCTTTGCTCATTCCAACCGACCCAGGATGGAGAAGAATAAACCTGACGCTGGTGTCAAACTGCTTCAGAATGAATAAAATGTTTACAGAAATCATCGCTGAAACCCTGAAGGAAGAGCTGAAGGCAGGTATCATTTGCTTAACCGAAAATTAACCAAAATGTGCTTTCTGAAAAAGGGAGCTCCCTGTAGTTTGGGGTTGACTTCGAGCAATTATCCAAACAAAACAGTTGGCGCCTGTGTTGGCGACAAAATAGTGTTTGCATAAAGTGGAGGGAGAAGACAAATATGCATGAAAATTAAATTTAGGCCTCTGGGACTCCCCTTTTGGGGCCATAGAAGAGCTGATTACATGTTCACAGCTGGAATTGGTGTTGGCAGGCAGGCCTCATTCATGGGCAGAGGGAGGGACTCCCTCTTTGAGCGACTGCTCCCGTGGCAAAGCAAGAAAGACAGCATTAAAAGCATCTGATGTTTACAGACCTCAAGGCCCATGGCCCTGAGCCGTTCAGATCTGGCATCAAACCCGAGTGTTCTCCATTGAGGACTCAGTACGCAGCCCAAGGAGCATGTGGTTGCTGGAGCTTAGGGTCTCCCCCCATCCCCCATCCCACTCACTCATGCACCCAGACTGCTGTTGGCAGCGTTTCCATTTAGAAGGCAGCAAATATGGCCAAGAGAAGAGCCAGCATTCTGGACAAGAGAGTGGAGTCTTGCAACACCAAGGTGGAAGGTCACAATAGGACGCCAAAACTGTCTTGAGACAGGGTCCTTTGGGTACTGAGGTGACTGAAAGGGTTTTGACGTTAGTCTTTTGACATTAGTTCTCTTGGTTTCTCTGGTTGTAGATTGCAAAAATGGCCCTAATTCTCCACCCTTCCTCTGCAGTGTGACTTTGCCCCATCTCAAGATAGAGTGTGTTTTCCCATCCCTTAATCTGGGCTGGTCTTGTGACTCGTTTTGCCCAGGAGGTTGTGGTGAAAGTGATAGGAAAGGCTTCCTGTGACAACTCAAAGCATGAAGGATGAGCATACATTAACCTGATGGAAGAGGAAAATGGACAATAGTTTCCTAAGGCAAGAAAGAGGATGTTGTGCTCAACAGTAATAGTATCTAACATTTACTGGATGCTCATGATGGGCCAGGAACCATTCAAAACATTTTACTTATATTAACTAATTTAATGCCCCCCAACAACTTGATGAGGTAGGTATAATTATGACCCTCATCTTATTCAAATTAGGAAAACAAGGCCCAGGGTAGTTAAGAATCTTGGCCAATGTCCCACAGATAGTAATTGACAGAGTGGGGATTCAAACCCAAGGCCACTTGGCTTCGGAGCCCATATTCTTTCACCATTATGCTGTGGGGCTCTTAAAAAAACTGGAAAAAGACCAGCAAGACAAGAACAGATTGTCAAAGGCAGGAACCAAAACTTTGTTAATGGCCTCACAACCACAGTCTAGTGTTTATTCTCATGCTCTTCAGTTTATTCTCGATAGAGCCACCAGAAGGGTCCTTTTAAAAGTTAAATCGAGGGACTCCTGGTTGGCTCAGTCGTTAAGCGTCTGTCTTCGGCTCAGGTCATGATCCCAGGGTCTTGGGATCAAGCCCCGCATCGGGCTCCCTGCTCTGTGGGAAGCCTGCTTCTCCCACTCCCCCTGCTTGTGTTCCCTCTCTTGCTGTGTCTCTCTCTGTCAAATAAATAAATAAAATCTTTAAAAAAATAAATAAAATAAAAAATAAAAGTTAAATCAGATCCTGTTAATTTCCTCACTCAAACCCTTTCAATCGCTTCCCATTGCACTTACAAAAAAAAAATAAATAAAAATGTCTTATGATGGTCACAGGGCCTTACCCAATCTGTCCACCTCTTAACCTCTCTGCCTACATACCTTCCCACACTCCATCTTTTTAACTCCACTCCAGCTTCTTGACCACTCCAAGCTTGTTCCCACCCAGGTTCCATGCCTTTCCTGGTGCCTCTATTTTAGAATGTTATTTCTCTGGATTTTGGCATTGGCTCAGCCCCTTGCCTCCTCCAGGCTCTGTGCAAATCTCACCTCCTCTGCAAGGCCTTCCTGGGTCACCTTCTCTAAAACGGCATCTCTTAATCTCATTGCTGTCTCCTTACCCTGATTTACTTTTCTTCATAGGACTCACCAGTGCCTGAAATTATGTTATGACATATTTGTTTGTTTACTTGTTTATAGTCTGGCTGTCCCACCAGAATGTATGTTCCATAAGGCAGAACTCTTGGTGTTGTTTATTACCTAGACCAGTGTCTGCCATATAAAAAACACCCAATACTGAAATATCCCAGAGCCTTGATGTTGCTTAAGACTGCAAAAATTTCAAAAATTTGGAACACTAACCAACAAAATTATGCCCAAAGTAGGACAGGTAGGAGTGTACGAAATGGTTAAAGAAGTAGTTCTCAAACTCCAGTGAACAACTATGTACTTTTAGCATTGGGACCTCTAAAGTGGGGAGCTCCTAGGTGACTCTAACTCAAGTGATGTGTGGATAAGGTTGTCACATTTATCAAATAACCTATAGGATGCCTCGGTAAGCCTGAATTTCAGAGAAACATTATATTACATGGGACATGGTTATACTAAAAAAATATTCTGAAGGGTTAACTGAGTCTTATAGTCTATCTGAAAACATTGCGGATCACACTCAGAGAACAACTCTATATTATAGGGAAAGATGATATTCAGTCTGGAGAAAATCAGTTTGATTGAGAAAGAGACATGATTCACAGTGATACTCAAATATCTGAAGAGAAAAGACCTCTAGTTTCTGTTACTCTAGAGAACAGAATTAAGACCAGATGTTGACAACATCTTTTCAGTAAATACAGGTGGGCAATGGTGGTAGAGTTGCTGCTCAACAGCAGTGGTTTTCCACCTCTAGGAGTATGCAAGCCACACTGTGGAAAGAATTGAATGTTGATGAAAGGAGTCTATTCTGGGTGAGGGTGGATCAAGTCCAAAGACTGTTCCAACACTAGGAATTCAGTTTCACAGATGGAGTGAGAACAGACAGACCTTCTCTGTAATAGATGGGACTCCATTCATTGAAAGTAACCAAAATCCAACACAAATGGGCTTAAGCAAAAATTGAGTTTATTATTTTGCACTGAAAAATCCAGGAGGATCTTGATTCAGGAATGACTGAATTCATATATGTAGAAATGATGTCATCAAGATTCAGATCCAAGTCTCAGCACTATTTTCCATGCATTGGCTTCATTTGTGGGCAGTCTCCCCTTTCATGGTGATAAAATGATCACCTGTGTTCCAGGCCAACATGTTAACAGGTTAACAGTCTCATCAGGAAAAAAGGATTCTTTTTCTCAATAGTTTCAGCAAAATTCAAGGACAGCATCTCATGGCCTGCTTGGGTCAGATGCCAACCCTCAAACCAATATTACAATGCCCAAGAGAATCAATGCTCTGGTGAGATTCATTTGGTCATGTGCTCATGAAATTGGTAGTAAGGTCAGGCCCACCCAAGTTATAGGGACTGAGAGTCAGGGAGGAAGGTAATGTT